ACAGCAAAATTTCGTTTGACTCGACGAAAATTCGCGAGCGGTTTGACGAAATTTTGTGGCGAAATTTCGTCGAATTTTCGCGAGAACAAAGAACGAAAAAAACCGAATTTCGTTTGCATTTCTTTTGCACAGTAGTGTAACTGTTTGTTTTACCGTACGAATTTTTTTCCGTGGCCGGAAGGGAGAGAATTTTTAATTTCTTAAAAAGATATTAACAGGTGAAAAGTGTGACGTGACCTATTTTGCTTCATTACTAATTAAATAAAAACGTGAGTCAACCATTCCGGCCAGATTCAAGCGAGAAATGATGATACAATAACAAAAATACTGTAATTAATATATATTGTGTGGCATTTCGCCACCCCATTTTTAGTTTTCTTTTCTTTCCTGGACTCGCCCATAAGTGGTCACATGACACAGATATCCGATTTCTTACGTTACAGGAAAATTAAGGTTACCGATTTTTCTCAGGTTGCCAAATTTTGGAAGGTTCTGATAAATTTTCACAAAGTTGTGACCATTATAAGATTTTATGCAAATCAGCCTCAGGTCATGCCTTAACATACTTGAGATTTTCGAAAGTACCATATTTGGAACGAGAAGAAGAGATAACTGACCAATCAAACTTCGTAAACAACGTGACGTAGTTTTACTTCATGTTCCCGCGCCCGCTTGAAAAAAATGGCCGACAAACGGGGGAAAAACTCCCGAAAGCCGAGAAAGCTTTCAAAGGTTGAAACCAGGAATCTTACCGAAACACTGAGCAGGATATTTTTGCCTTACCACCCGGGCCAAACACAACATTATGAAACCCATTGACGTCCTCGCAACTTCATGAAGTTGTCACTTCAGAAAACGATGCCTCGTTTACCCTCTGCACAGTAAACTTATACTGCAAATACGCTTTTTAAACTTTTTTTATATTAATAGTCTAGAATAAACAGTAAAAAAATTTTTTTCGAAAAAAAATCATTAGCTGCGTATCGAAAAGTGTCCAAAACCTGAACCTGACATCTTCGCAAAAACTTGGATGTTATAGTCACGATCGCGTTTTGAGCTAATTTATGAATGAACAAACTCAAAACAATAGACAGAGAAGCCGTTTCTTGAACATTTTTATTCAAAATCCAAAAAGTTAATCCTTTAAAGCAATTCGGAAAACACTATCTGGATAGTGAATCCGTTCACGCAACTGAAATCGGCTGAACACATGGCAAAATTCAACACAAAATCCATCTCNTTTCGAAAGTACCATATTTGGAACGAGAAGAAGAGATAACTGACCAATCAAACTTCGTAAACAACGTGACGTAGTTTTACTTCATGTTCCCGCGCCCGCTTGAAAAAAATGGCCGACAAACGGGGGAAAAACTCCCGAAAGCCGAGAAAGCTTTCAAAGGTTGAAACCAGGAATCTTACCGAAACACTGAGCAGGATATTTTTGCCTTACCACCCGGGCCAAACACAACATTATGAAACCCATTGACGTCCTCGCAACTTCATGAAGTTGTCACTTCAGAAAACGATGCCTCGTTTACCCTCTGCACAGTAAACTTATACTGCAAATACGCTTTTTAAACTTTTTTTATATTAATAGTCTAGAATAAACAGTAAAAAAATTTTTTTCGAAAAAAAATCATTAGCTGCGTATCGAAAAGTGTCCAAAACCTGAACCTGACATCTTCGCAAAAACTTGGATGTTATAGTCACGATCGCGTTTTGAGCTAATTTATGAATGAACAAACTCAAAACAATAGACAGAGAAGCCGTTTCTTGAACATTTTTATTCAAAATCCAAAAAGTTAATCCTTTAAAGCAATTCGGAAAACACTATCTGGATAGTGAATCCGTTCACGCAACTGAAATCGGCTGAACACATGGCAAAATTCAACACAAAATCCATCTCAAATTGGAGCACATTTTGTAATTTTTCTTTAGCGCCGAAGAGAAAAATTTATAAAACGTCTATGAAACATTTAAAACTATATAAATTACCTTTCAAAAACGTAATTGTCTTGGCCATAGAGAGCAAAATGTACCTGAAAATTCAGCAAAAACTTCACTGCCTTGGTTGCATTTCAAAACAGACCATGCGCTCCCTCGAGAAGAAAACAAGGTTGAATTCCTCGAAAGACGATTTCTTGATGAAAAGCTTTCCTTCCTCCACAAAAAGAAAGCTCAGCGTTCTTTTGAACTTTCTCTTTCCATTTTTTGCCTTTTAACGGTGTATTTTTAAACTTGAAATGCAAAACTCTTGTCTTAAAACGTCTGCATGGTGATTGCGCGGCACCCAATTGATGAAAATGGATATCTGTCACTAAGGTTTCCAAATATGGTAAAAGTGAATATTCACGAGCATGAGTTTCTGCTTAGACCTATAAGCGACTGTTTAAAAAGTTTTACATTGCTACAAAGACAAGGCAAGGGAATTCCATAAACTTACAGCTCCGTAATAAAAAGTTCTTTGTCCACTTGCTGTTTTAAAAAGAGGTATGTTCAGTTTTTGTGAATAGCGAGTTCTACGATTACTGACTTTTGCACGTTTAATAAAGTGCGGGCGCCATAAGGGCGCTACGATATAATAGCTCGCTAGCGACACATAGCCACGTCAGTTCTTTAAGAAAGGGCGTGATATGATCTTATTTGCGGCAGGCAAAATTGTGCACAGCTTGCAACTTTTGAATGTTATTCCTCGATGGATTCGCCCATACATTTGAACAATAGTATAATTTACTGTAAACCAATGCGTGTAAGATAGTCGAGAGGATCTTGTTCTCAGGATTTATCTGCCCTAGGCGAGACATACAAGTAGAAACGATGTTGATTATATGTTCATCGTATGACAATTAAGGGTCCAAAGTCACACCTAAGTCCCTGGCCGTTTGAGTAGGAAAGATATCTCTTCATAGTAACGGAGCTCCACGCGCGCGCTTCGCGAGCGCGTGGGCGGAGCCCCATAGCT